AAAAAAAAAAAAAAAAAAAAAAAAAAAAAAAAAAAAAAAAAAAAAAAAAAAAAAGATTATTTTGCAATTAAGCAAAAGGGGTATTTATCTTTAATTTTCTATTGAGAATCATATATATATATATATATATATATATTGCTTTTTTAAGTTGGAATTTAAAGGAAAATTTGTTTTTACTTTAGTTTAAAAAAGTTTAAAATGGAAGTAAAAGAAAAAATTATTAATTTGAAAATATTATATGGGATATTTATAAAATATTTTTCTAATTTGGGAGAATTTTATTCGGTGGAAATTTGCTAAATTAATACGTCAATATTTGGTAACCTGAATATATGATTTGGATTGGATTATGAATTTATTTGGGTTGGATTGTATTCGAAAATTTGTTGAAGTAGATTGGTTTTAAAAAAATACATTTTTTAAGTTATATATACGTATTTTTTTTATTTAATTTCATAATTATTTTTTTAATTATTAAAACGGAGTCGTAAATTTTAATTAAATAGTATTTTACATTTATTAAAAATAAAAATTTGACAAAATAAATGGGTTAATTTACAAAGTTAATCCTTTTTATTTATTTTTTATAATTATTTAATAATTAATAATAGTTTATTAAAATAAAATATTTGTATTAAAGAACATATACAAATAAAATGAGTCTATATTCTTCTCATAAAAAGTTATTTTAAACTTTTTTTTAATTGATGCAATTCTATTTTAGTAAGTAATTATTTGTTAATGTTAAATAAAAACTATTATATCACTGAAATAATAATAAATTTTAACCATATAATATAATTTTATATCATTACACGACATTTGTCAAAGTGAACATACCTCAATTGTAAGAAATAACAAATACGGTTATGTCGAGTATGTCATTTAAATTGTTCATATATGGATTATTACATTATCATCGAATATTTTCTATCATAACCGTCCTCATTGAAGCTGCCACAGTGACGGGATCATAGTTTCGAATCGACAATTGAGTTATTCTTACCATATAAACATACACGAACTGTGTTATTAAAGATGTGAGATAAAAATTAGGATTTAGAACTTGAGAAAGAAAGGCCTTTTGTGATCCAACGAGAACGGTGGATCGGAATATTTTCCGGTGAGTATTTGAGATGAAACATACTCGTTTGCAGCCTCGGTGTAATGAGTTCCATCCCAGTTGACATACTTCGAGCTATCGTTGCACCCTTTTGCCGTGACGACCTTCCCATCCAACGTCTTCGTTAGCCCACAGGTGATTCGATTGTCGTAGTTGAGCGGAGGACCTCCATAGCCACAGCAAGTCATAATAGGTTGTTCAAAACCTACCACAATTGTAAAAAGTAGTGATTGCGTTATGACGCGAACACATTTTTATTGTAAGTCATTTCAAATCGATCTTAAATCGGCTGACCTAATTGGGAATAATTTGCGACGAGATTGAATTTTATCGCGTAGATGTCGACGTATGTGACGGTGGCATCAGCATATTGGCTTTGTAACGTTTTACAAAGAGCATGGAGCTGTGAATTAAAGAGGTTTGCAGCTTGGTTGTGTGAAATGAGGCATCCAAATTCATCGAGCTTCGATGGGTCAGTGCCAAAAGTAGCAATATTTTGAGCCAAGCACCCTAGAGGACCCGTGTTGTGGATCCAAAAATGTCTCGCCCCATTCTCGTACAGTCTCTGAAAAATAAGCGAGTTTTTAGTGTCACACCATCACTTCATGACTTTTAAAGAAATACGATTATGATAGTTGATATACGAGTCGAGTTGGCTCCTAGAAGTGGAATCAGTAAACATGTAAACAACCAAACGAGCAAGTCTTATGTTGACTGATTGACTGAGATCAAAAGGCATATGCTTTATTTGCCGGAAGTTATTTGACAATGTTTGATATTTAGAATCTCGCCCCGATGAGATTGCACCAAAGCCAATAAGATTGATGCGATAACTGGTGTAACAGCCAAACGGAAAAGTCCCACATTTTGGCTCGTTACGTATCACTGTTACCCTTACGGTTTTAAAACATGTCTACTAAGGAGAAGTTTTCACATCCTTATAAGAAACAGTTCGTTCCCCTCTCCAACTGATGTAGGATCTCACAATTAGCTGCCTAGATAGAATGACTGTCAAAGAGTTGATGACTGAGTTATTAAAAGACAAAGCCATACGATTCGACAGCTTCGAGCGTGGGATAGCTTGATAAGCTCGGCTACCCATATGAAACAGCACGTCAAAAGTTTAAACTCTTCAAAACCGATAGTTAAGATGATTTTAGACCTTTTTTAAGATGTTGTCAAAGTCGAGGTGGCAGAGGAGAACCAAACCCTAAAAGAGGGCACAATCCAATACAACATGGAAGCCTAAACCCTTCGACTCGAGAACTTCATCTCCAACTTCAAAAAGTACTTATGACGTACTAATACGATAGACAAAGAAGCAGACCCTAAAATTAATCGCTCGCAATCCTAAACATAACTCAACGATTTACGGTCGTTTATGTTTGTCAGAGGTACAAATCTAATCCTCTTTCGAACAAATGGTTGAACTAAAAAAAATTAAATAAAAATTATTCAAATTTAACTAGAAAGAAAGTAATATTTTGATTGAATATGAACCTGAATGCCAGTCTGAAACTCAGTTAAAATGGTGGGTATTGCTTGATCCAGAGGAGTTTTGGAGTAAAATGCAGCAGTAAGGTCATTCTGACCTATATCAAACATGTAAACCCCGTTCTTGAACGACTTTTCTACGGGTAGCAACTTGTTCACTTTTTTATTACCTGAAACACAAACACAAAATTTATTAAATATTTTCGAGCACATATTGTCCTATTTAGACTTTTTTTTTTTTTTTTTTTTTAATTTTCTTTCAACGTTTATAAAACGCATCTATGGCAAGATGAGATGCGACGTTGTATTGAGAGACCCTGGCCCGAGCAGAGTCAAGGTCGAGCGGAATGACTAGGCCTAGCATAGAGGTAAGTCGGATGTGTCGTAGACGATTGAACATGCACGCGCAGGCGGCATGTGTGGTCGAACAAGCTTGGATTCCGTACAAGCGATGTAAGATGGACGAAGACAAACCTCGCCTAAGGTCTGACGAAGCTACAAAGCCAGGGCGAAAAATATATATGGAGGTTAATTCCCCTCAAGGCTAGTCGTGAGCGTGTCAAGATCACGACGACGCACGGTAAAAAATGTAAGACCGTGACAGTTGGTATCACGAGAGGTTTTCACACTCTTGTAAATAATGTTTCGTTCTCCTCCCAACCGATGTGGGATCTCACACGAATTATGCTCAAATCGACGTGTTTCTTATACTTTTTTTTTTTTTTAATTCTTTTTTAATCAAAATTCAAAAAAAAAAAATCATGAATTATCTAAGTATTTACTCAAAAACTTTAGTAAGTACGTGTAAAAATAGTGTTTATAAGCTTAATTTTAAAAGTCAAATGATTGTCAAACGAGACTATAAGGAGTGTTCGACTTATTTGAAGTTTTAGGCGCAATAATGAGGTAGCGTGAATCATGAAAATCGTCGTTTTCTTCGTAAGATCGACGTTTCATATTTTTCAAAATGAAAATGATATCGAAATGTTATACCTTTGGCTCGAAGCCGAAGAACCCTATCTTTGAAATGGAGGAACTGGTTGAGCTGAACCCCAAAGGCAAAGGGGCTAACAGATGCAGCAGTTGCAGGAAGAACAGTGGAACCACCAGCCGCGTAATTGCACCCTTTTCTGAAACTTGGCCTCCCCACCGACTCCAAATACGCCCTCAAATGTGGCTTCCCCATTGCTTCCACTGACACCCAAGTAGAAAATCCATTAAAAAAGATGGAATATTGTAACGTTTGAAAAAAAATGTAGATAATCTAAACTTTAAGGGTATTTTCGTAATTAAACCTAACACAATTACGGTCGAATATAAGTCAAAGCTAAAAAATTAAACGTTCAACCTCGAAGATAGTAATGTTGAGTATAAAACGTAACGATTCAAGCTCATCGCTACTCGATATTGTCGTCTTTGAGCTTCCCTAAAAAAATGATTCGTTCTTCTCCCTAACTGATACGAGATCTCACACAGAAGTAAGTAAATACTCATAATCTCCTATTTTCCGCTCTAGAACATGTGTAAATACTCTAATTGTTTTAATGACGTGATATATTTTAAATATTTAATATTTATTAGCGTTTGTTTGGTTGTTAAAGTGAACATAACTCAATGATAATTGATACGTACTCTTATTTTTGAAGTCGAATGTTCAAAATTTTTATATTTTCACTCCGGGTAATAAAAAAAATTAAGATATTTTTTTAATAGGTGTATTTAGAAATTAGTTTCTAGTCTAAAAAGTTTAAAATGTGTTCGGTAATTAAATTACGAGCATATTTTATACTATAAAAATTCGTATAATCAAATTCTCACGTTCTATATTAATTTTTTTTTATTAATATAGCGAAAATGATTTGGGAATATTTAGATAATAATTTATATTTAAAAAATGACGAAAATGATTTTTTTCTTTTTTTTCTTTTTTACAAAAAAAATTAAAGGTAAAAACAGATAAAGTTCAAAGCATTGAAGAAAAACGGATTGAAAAAGAAACTGGAATAGTAAAATTGATGAACAGTCGAGAAGTTTACTGAGAAAATCAACGATGAGGCGGCCATTGCAGAACCTTCCAGACGAGGGGCTCTGGAAGTAAGTTTCTCCATAAGGCAGGGGGAGGCGGAATCCCTTGCCGGCGAGAAGCTCGCCGGTATCGGAGTTCGAGTCGCCGAAATTGAACACCGCCGGATAATGAAAAACACTGGAACTTCCAGAGCGGAAAATCGTCGAACACATTGTGAGCATCAGCGGAATGGCGAAGAATTTGGTGAGAGAAATCGCCATGGCGGATCCAGATTCAGAAGCAGAGTTCCGATGATGAAAAAATCGGTAATCCGGCGGGATTTTATTGGCGGAGAGAAAGGCTTAGGGTTTAATTCAAGAGAAGGCAATATGAATGATTGAAGCAAAGCTTTCGCTAAATTTAACTTTCATCCATCGCCAAAAATTTGCAGAGAAGGCGAATCGAAAATGGCGGTTTTAACGCAGAGCAAAAAAATAAAAAGAAAATAATAATAATAACTTATTTGCAATTTAGTCCCTTTACTTTCAATAATTCATTATGGTGCGGAAAAGTAATTGGTCTTGAATTTTAAAAATTATCACTTAGTCCCTAAAGATACAGATTTTTACTTATTTAGCCCTTAACTTTACAAAAATATGGTACTGGATTAAATTTTATATATTAAAAGGGTTTTTAAATTTTATTTTTAAAAAATTCACAGATGGTACTAGGGTTAAATTTAAAAAATATCTTGTTTTAGAGAGAAAATATTTAATTTTAATAGACTGATTAATTTTTAAAAATTCAATATGGTATTAAATACAAAATTACAATATTATAAATTTCAAAAACTTAATTAATAATTTTATAAATTTATTAAATATTTTTAAACGTAAGAGTTTATAGACTAAATTTTTTATTTTTTAAAAAAATTGGAGTGCAATATTTAAAATTTTTATGAGTATTTTAATTCTTTTATTAAGATATATTTGAAATTATTAAAATTAATACTTTAAAATATAAAAAATTGAAATTATTGGTACTAAATTAAAATAAAAATTTATTTTCAAGGGGTCCATTAAAAAAAAATTGAGAAAAAAAAAAAAGGACATTTTGCAAGCAAAATGGTTGTTCAAAATTCCCTTACAAGGGGCAATTTCTTTTTCTTTCATTTTTATAAATGGGAAAATTGTTTTGCTTCAATTTAAAGGTCTTAAAAAGGAAGAGAAAAAAAAATAATTCTAAAAATATTACCAGGTGAAAATAAATTATTTTTCTAATTCGGAGGATTTTATATGGTGTAGATTTAAAGTTGGATACTATATTAATGTGTTTTGGATATAGTTTATATTATAGATAATATATCATTTTTGTCAAATAATTTTAACACGTAATTTGTGAATATGATAAATCAGATAAATAATAACTTTATGTCTAGAATTATTCTAACTTTAATTTATTGTGTGTTTTAAGAATATATATATTAATTTAATATTGAACACAAAAATTCAAAACTAACCTAAATAAAAAATTGAATAAATAAATAAAGACGGGTTGGATTGAAAAATAATACAATTCAAATAATTGAATTGATTCTAAGTAATTTAACACGCGCGACCGAGATCTTGCATGAAATTTGTTATATAAATGAAGTCGGGAATAGGGAATATATTCCACCCCACCCTATCCTATATAAACGTGTGTGCATATATATATATATATATATATATATATATATATGTTAAAACTTTATACGACCCATGTTGTTTATAATTTTGAGACTATGGTTGGTGGTCGGATTTTTTTACGGGTGGAAAATTATCTTTTAATATTAAAATTTAAATTTAAAAAATTATGTTAGTAAAATATTATACGATAAAAATTACACGTAAATGGGGGGATGGGGACAGGGTCGACCCGCCCCACTCCGTTCAAACCCGGTTCAATTTTTAAAAAAAAAAACCTTTCCGTACCTGAATTTGCTTGGATTTGGCCCAATACTATATTCTCGCGGTTTGGATTTGGCCCATTTCTCTATTCTCGCCGCTTCCCAGTTTCGCATTGCGATTTGATCGCTACGGCTCGCACTGTCTGTACAATCCGACCACCAACCATGGCGGAGGTGCTCGGCATCGACGTCTCTGTTCCTCCTAGCCTCCATCTCATCTCTGCTTTCCTCGCCATGGAGGCAGCTGATTCTTTACTTTGCATGGCCAGGTACCACTCTAATACCCCCACTTAACTTCAGCGGAAATGCTCTCATACTAACGCGCCTTCTATCTCTGTGCCCACTTTATTGGAGTTTTATATCATTTCTCGAATGGATTACACATTACTTCTCGATTCGTTTATTTGCGTTTCTCATAATGGAGGTGGATAACTTTTTTTTTTTTTTTTTTGTCTCTTTTAGGGAATTGGGTCGCGGATTAGTGACCGAGACAGTGCAGAGGTTCATTTGGGATCATTGCATTAGCAAAGCTGTTGAGATTCTAAACCATTTCACTTCCATTTCATTGTTTTAATTGAATTCAATATAAATTCTCTGCTTGCTTATTAGTTCACTTAGGATTTAAATTTTGTTGGTACCATGGAGAGTAACAGAATGTAGATGTTGTTGGCATTTGTGAACTGGATTGGTATTTGAGTTTACTTCTTTCTCTGTTTCCTACTTTTTCAGCAAGAAATCAACCATTTTCATGTACCTTATCTGAAAAATTTTATGAAGAAACTGATATCTGAGGTTGAATCAAGTCAAGTTGAAGTGTTGGATGAGTTCTATGAATTGTATTCTCATTACATGGTTTCATGGAAGGTAAGCTGCTAAAGAAGGGAAAACTATTACATTGATTCATTTGCACATGAGAATCTCTTGGCTGCTTTTCCTTGCTCTTGAATGATAAGAGTTCTTGTTTGATAGGATGAGAATCTGAGCAAAGAAAGTGCAACAATCTCCAAATTTGTTTCTTTTCTTTTTCCACATGGCAAGTATTTTCTTCGTTTTTGTACTATCTCGTGACTGAAGTAGTCGATAATTTGGTTTTGTTTCCTTGGTTACAAATATTGAATTAATTGGTTCTTTAAGGTTCTTCGAGTTGTCAAAAGTTAAGGAAATTTGTGGTGCCACTACAATGCTCTCTCAACATGCTTGCAGGTGATACAGGGAATGCTTCACACTCACAACTTTGTTTAAGTTATCTTATGTTCATCATGTGTTAGCATAGTAATTTGTGGAAGATTTTGATCTTTAGAGTTTCTGGTTATTGTTCATCTGATTTACATTTTTCTCTTCGAGCTTTGTGTACATATATTGATATACATGGAACATTGCTTTACCATCTGGATTGATGTGCATTCGCTTCAAGTTAACTGTGAAACATAATAGATTTTATGCATTTCTTCTCTGTTATGGCTGATATCCAGATTTCCATCTTTATTGTTTTGGGGTATTGCCCAATTTTCTCTCTATATAAAGAATAAAGTAAGTACATTGTTGGTTAAAGTCTTTTTTTTTTTTTTTTTGAGATCTCACATCGGTTGGGGAGGAGAAAGGGTGTGGAAACCTCTCCCTAGCAGATGCATTTTAAAAACCTTGAGGAGAAACTCGAAAGGGAAAGCCTAAAGAGGACAAATTTGTTAGCGGTGGGCTTGGGTTGTTACATATGGTATTAGAGCCAAACATCGGGCGATGTGCCAGCAAAGAGACTGAGCCCGTGAACACGAGGCGGTGTGCCAATAAAGACGTTGGACCCCAAATGGGGGTGGATTGGGAGGTCTCACATCGATTAAAGAAGGGAACAATACTAGTAAGGACGCTGGACCCCGAAGGGGGGTGGATTGTGAGTCCCACATCAGTTGGGGAGGAGAACGAAACATTCTTTATAAGGGAGTGGAAACCTCTCCCTAACAGATGCGCTTTAAAAACCTTGAGGGGAAGCTCGAAAGGGAAAGCCCAAAGAGGATAATATCTGCTAACGGTGAGCTTGAGCTGTTACATTTTTAGTCCTTAGACTTTCCGGTGGTTTTATTTTGGTCTCTAAACTTTCAAAGTATGCATCGGTTAAATCTAATTTTAGTCCCTAAAATTGAGATTCCACTCTTTATTATTCCAGGGTATTCCCCTTTTTATTGCTGATGAGGCTTTTGTTCTTTCATTCTTCTTAATGAAAGTGGTTCTTATAAAAACAAGAAGAAAAAGAAAGAGAGTAAGTATTTTGTTCATTGATTAGGTTGTCTAGTTCATCCTACAATCAAATTACGAATTCAACTCTGATTTAAGTATTTTGTATAAGTTGTTTTATCAAAATACTGTATCTTGGGCTTTGAATATGAAGTCTAAATATAAGTACTTTCTATTAATGCGAAGTTCACAACTCTATGACAATTATTTATCTGTTATATTAAGTTAAAATAATCTTGCAAAGTTGTTTCAAGTCTGTAGATCTTTGTATGATACAGGTGTTCAATTTGGCCTTCGAGTCTATACCTTTCGGAACTGATACTCTCGTTTCCAGACATTTTCTCAACAAGAAAATGCTTTGAGGTAAATTTGTACATTTAGTTCTGCCTTAAATCTATTCCAAAAACTCCTTACATTTGCTATCTGAATCGTTTTATACCTCGATGGTCGGTCATTATACTCAAATATTTTGCTTATTATTCCGATCATACGTGTTAGGAGGAACATACCCTTTCGATGATCTAAGCCTTTTCATCTTTATAAAAAGAAATAAGAGACGAGTATTATCTAAGCCTGCATGTTTACACTGGCTATTCTGTGTAAGCTCAGGTGATGTTTGGCTCACAGTTTTAGTAAGTTTTTATGAAATTTGGGATTAGGAGAGTTTATGAATTGTTAAAGCTAATGAGTATAAAAGATTTGTTCCATAATTTGGAATGTTTAACCTAATGACTTTTTAACATAGGTTACACAAACCTAACCTTTGATCCGAACGCCTTGTAAGATTTCCATAATTTTCTAGCTATGTTTTACATGAAAACAGGTTGGTTCAGGTGTGGGTTTGGTTGGAATCTGCCTTGCTCGCGTCAAAACGTCATCGGTAAGTTGCTGGAAAACCTTGAAAGCTTGCATTGTTCCCATCAATGGAGACTTTTCAACTTTACCACAAAGTTGACGACCCTGTGTTTAAACAGATAGTGTTGAGTGATGGTGACCCATCAACATTAGCAAATATGAAGGTTAATTTAGGGTTGAATGGGTTGTGCTGCCTCAGCTCTGCAACTGCTACACCAGAAAGAACTGAAGAGGATCTTCAAACTGTAAGGGCACAATTATTAGGAATTTCTACATGTTTTTAGCTATCTGTTGACCTCAATCTCTGCATGCTCACTATTGAAATGGAAGCAAAATGTTTGAAAGTTATTGCGCTTCTGTACGTCTTCCTGCTTTTAAGACCATTCTTAAGCTTTTTCCTCCATTCCTTTGATTGAAATCCCATGTCGGTTGGAGAGGGGAACGAAACATTTCTTGTAAGGGTGTGGAAACCTCTCCCTAATAGACGCGTTTTAAAACCATGAGGCTGATTGCGATACGTAATGGGCCAAAACGGACAATATCTATTAGCGGTGGGCATGAGCTATTACAAATGGTATCAGAGCCAAACACCGGGTGGTGTGCCAGCGAGGACGCTGGGCTCCCAAGGAGGGTGGATTGTGAGATCCCATGTCGGTTGTAGAGGGGAATGAAAACATTCCTTATAAGGGTGGGAAAACCTTTCTTTAATAGACGCATTTTTAAAACTGTGAAGCTGACGGCGATGCGTAACGAGCCAAAGCGGACAATATCTACTAGCGGTGGGTATGAGCTGTTACAAATAGTATCAGAGCCAGATATCGGGCGGTGTGCTAGCGAGGACGCTGGGCTCCGAAAGGGGGTGGATTGTGAGATCCCACATAAGTTGGAAAGGCGAACGAAACATTCCTTATAGGGGTGTGGAAACCTCTCCCTAATAGACGCTTTTTATAGCCGTGAGACTGACGGTGATACATAATGGGTCAAAGCGGACAATATTTACTAACAGTGAGCATGGGCTGTTACAAATGGTATCAGAGCCAGACACTGGGCAATGTGCTAGCGAGGATGTTGTCTCCCAAGGGGGATGGATTGTGAGATCCTACATCGGTTGGAGAGGGGAACGAAATATTCCTTCTAAGGGTTTTAAAACCATGAGACTGATGGTGATACGTAACGGACTAAATCAGACAATATCTACTAGCGGTGGACATGGACTCTTACTAACTTATTATAAAGTTTGTTTAATGTATGAGACTTTCATGTATCAGTTTATAATGAGAAATATATGAATCTCAGGTGGAATGCATGCATCTGCCATGGGAATCAGCATCTGAAAGTGAACTCGAAGCTTTTGCACCAGATATTGTGTGAGTTTCTACTTTATGATTTGATATAACTTTCTTTTTGTACAAGCTCTCCTTAAATTTCAACGTATATAGACAATGACTCTTCTGCTTAGAAATGAAATGTTCTCCGATCCTCGTCATGTAGGTTAGGCGCAGATGTAATATACGATCCAGTTTGTCTCCCGCACCTTGTTCGTGTCCTTTCCATTCTTCTGCGCCCAAAGCAAATTCATAGCTCCACACACTCATTCCCGGGGAGTGAACATGTCGATGATGCAAATCACAGAAACGATGTAGACAATGGAAGCCATGGACACAAAGCTTGTAGAAGCGAACGCCCGGTGGCATATATTGCTTCCGTAATTCGCAACATCGACACGTTTAATCATTTTCTGGGTATCGTAGAACAGTCTAATCTGAGTATATGTGATATAACTGATGAACTAAAACCCATGAACTTGCTACCTTACATGCACTCTTACAATAGATCAAGTATTAGATTGTTTACTCTGAAATTCAAGTAGCTTTCTTTGTTAAATTCATTAAAACTTTGCTCTAAATGATTATTGTAAAAGAAACAATAGTGGGAATTATAGTTTGAACTTTGCAGATTGATTTAGTTCCATTGTTGAAGTTTACTGATAGTTGCAAGGGTTCAATATTCCGCCGTAAATTTTATACTGTCTCAAAAATACGTTGAAACTTTAATTTTTTTTAATAATACCTTTAATATATAAAGAAAGTTTAAAAAATACTCGTGACGATAAGTTGACAAAATAAAGATGAAAGAATGCCTTAATTGGAACCGCAAACCGAAGCTGAGTGGGTGAAAATATGTTTGAGCTTAGAACGGGGTGACCCGATATTTGATAGTCAAAGACTATAACCTTACTCTTATTTAAAATAATGTTTGAGCTTAGATCGGGATTGGACCGAACTTGAGCTAGACTTGGTTAGCTCGTGAGTACTCATGATTTAATTAAATTTATAGAATTTATGTTATTTTTTTTATATTATAAAATTTTATTTAATATTTCATTTATAAATTAAAAAAAAAAAAACCTATTACTAACTTAAAAGCAATGATATATAAATTAGAAATTTATTTAAAAGTTTAATTTTAAAATATATAAAATATAATTAAATTGACTTTAATTATAAGTTGATGGGACAATAAAAGTAATCTAATCAGTAAAATTTAAAGATTAAACCAAAGTTTGACCGAGTCAGAGGTGAAGTTGGGGTAATGTTTGGGCCGAAAGCCCATTAATAATAGAGTTTTAATATATTAATTAGATCCTCATCCACGATGCTCGTGTGGAAGGAAAAAAAAAAAAAAAAAGGCAAATAACGGGATTTCTTGAGAATAAAGTGAGGTGAATACTTTAGAGAAATGATTTGCCAGTGATTTCATTGCTGTTCTTGCATTGCCTTACGTGGTGTTCGTGTAGATTTGCTTGTCTTTTCAGCTTTGATGGGTGTCGAGGATCAATTGAGTGGAGCACAACTGATCAATTCAGAATAAAACACTGCAGAAATCGCTTGGATTCTTGTACTTTTTAAGGGAAAATCAAACAGGTAAAATACCCATTTCGTGTACGCATTTAATCTCTCTTTTTCAAGAAATCGAACTTTTCTCCTGGTTTTGTGATCTTGCATTTCATCCGCGTGAGGGTCTGTTTGCTTAGTTTCAGCGCATTTTGATTCTTGAGCTCTGTGGCTTGCGATGGGGGAGGTGGAGGTGATTCACTTATGGTCTACTCCGAGGTCGCTCAGTACCAGTCTGATGTACTCTTTTGCCCAGGTACTATTCGAGTTTTCTTGGTGAATCTCTAGCTAGGCATTCCTGTTTACTCTGTTTGGTTGCTGTGAAAATAGGGAGGAAAAGAGTAAGAAAAGAGCTGGAGAGTGTAGTGTTGGTGGCTGTTGCATTGCTTTGGTTGCATGAGTGATGTTTTTTCTTTAATGGGTTTCATGAATTCTAGCTTTTCTCTTCACCCATTGTTGTCAATTGTCTGTGACACACTGATTTACGTCTTGGTTTGCTCTTTTGTTCTCTATCTGCATTCCATTTCTTGCTTACTCTGTTTGGTTGCTGAGAAGATAGGGAGGAAAAGCGTAAGAAAAGAGCTGGAGAGTGTAGTGTTGCATGAGTAATGTTTTTTCTTTAATTGGTTTCATGAATTCTAGCTTTTCTCTTCACCCATTGTTGTCAATTGTCTGTGACTCACCGATTTACGTCTTGATTTTCTCTCTTGTTCTCTATCTGACATTCCATTTCTTGCTTACTCTGTTTGGTTGCTGAGAAAAGGAGGAGCAAGAGGGGAAGATAAGAGCGGTAGAGTTTAGAGTTGTAAAATTTATGTGTTGGTGGCATTTTATTGGTTTTGGTTGCTGGATAATGATTTTTCTCGAATGGATTTCAAGAATTACTGCTTTTCTCATCTCCCATTATGGTCATTATGTGTTAAATGATTTACGTTTTGATTCACATAGTCACTTTCTATAACGGTCCATGCCCACCGCTAGCAGATAGGGAAAGGTTTCCACACCCTTATAAACTTATAAAGGGTGTTTCGTTCTCCTCCCCAACCAATGTGGGATTCTCACACTCTCTAACTAACACTCCATTGCTTGCTTACTCTGTTTTTTTGCTGATAAGATGGAAAGGAAATGGGATGAAAACAGCTAGAGTATTTTGGTTTTTATGTGTTGGCTGTTGTACTCTTTTGGTTGCATTAGTAATGGTATTTCTATAATGGGTTTCAAAAACTGTAGTTTTTCTCTGCTCCCATGGCGGTCACTTGTTTATATAGGTGATATTTTGATGGTTTTTCTCTGCTTTTGTGTATATAGTTGCTTCTGCTTGGGACAGGTTTTGTATTGTTTTGGAAATTCAACCATCAAGTCGAAAGTCGTGGTTCAACTTGTTTTTTTTAGATCAATATTGCTTTTAACATCCGGTATAAGATTTGGAGGACAAACTTTTTTGGGCTCTGTTGTTTCTTTTTGCTCTTTTAATGCTGTTTGCATTGTTAAAGTAATATGCTATAACTATCTTCTTCTTCAATCTTTGGCAGCAGAGCTATATATCTGGATAAATCACTTGAACTAATTGAAAGTAGATTTTATGGCTACAATTGTCATTCGTTATGAGTTTCTGATTTGAATTGTATTTGGGAGCGAATGTATTTTGAGGACGTAATGCCATTTGATACTCTTTGTGCTGTTAAGTACGGGGAAGATCAGAGGCAACCACTATATAAAATGGAATGTTTTTTTTTTTTTTTTTGGGTGCATAATTTTCAATGAGAACTTGTTTCTTGCTCATCCTCATATCTATTTGCTCCGTTTTTGTCGTCAGAGAGATGACATGGAAGTGCTAGATGAACCACTCTATGCAAATTTCCTTCGGGTGACAGGTTATGATAGGCCATACCGTGAGGAGCTACTATCCAAAATGGTTTGTATATCAGCATAGCATCTTCATTTGCTTTAACTTCCAGTCTGTGTCATTTGTTTGAAACTCCGAACGTGGGGAGTGGTATGTATATATCCAGGAACAACTTTCCATGACCAACACTAAAACTTTGTTCGTCATTTTGGAGCGAGAAAGTGCCAATTTTAACCACCATGGTTTGGCAGGAGAAGTATGAAGCTTTATATCTAGATGCCTTTTAAGGCTGTTGGTTCAAATTATGATGACTACCTAGTACTTTTCTGTTAAATATTCTACTTCTTTTAGATGTCGAATGTCGTAGGATAGGTCGTTGTATTGCACAATTAATGGGAAGGTCGGCAGAAACTAAAGAAGAAAAAAATGATAAAAAGATAAAAGAAAGAAATAAGAATGCACAAGTTTTGTGTTGGAGAGATGGCATTGGATGCACACATCTTGTTTCAAGTAGCCAATATCAACTGATCTTCTCCCTAGGGTACCCTTGCACCATGCTTGAAAAGTATAAAGGAAAATTGACCATATATGGGTGGTTATGATATTATTATCATTTGAAATAATAAGCAGAACCGTTCCGGAACGCTCTCATTGCCTTTTTTACATGCTTGCTATAGGAACCTGATGGAAATAAGGTCATAAAGGACATCATTTTTGCACCAGGAGAAAAGAAGTACCGATTTTGCAAGGTAATGCAAATTTTCTTCACCATTCGTATATCTAATTGTATTCCTTATTGAATTGTGTTCCTTGATGTACATGTACATGTCCTCTGGATGGATTGACTGTATGCTTTTTGATTAATAAGATACTGAAAACTTTTGAAAGGACCGTTGCCAGGATGACGAATTGCTTATCATAGATGCTTAGAATATATTATAAAATATCAAAATGTATAATCCGTGCATGATGTATGGATGAGAGAGCGTAAATGGACAATACATGTTTTGAACTTCAAAGACGCTGCATTTTCCTGCTCTTTCTCTATTTGATATCGAGATCTTCACTTGAAAGCGGATGGACTGTTCATCAATGCTTACATGGGGAGTAAAGAAATTAGTATTCAACTAGAATGCTTCGTCTTTGATCATTTGTGTATAGTTCATCTTCACGTGCACGAGGATAATCAAAAGAAAAAAAAAAAAAAAAAAAGGAAAATGAAAAGGAAACTGATGCTTGTTAACCTATTGCATATCATTCTCTAGTTTTATGATTATTTTTTCCATTTGATATCCAAACAGCACATAGCAAAACAGAAAGTACCTGGTTTGGCAAGTGATTTGATGAAGAAAGGAAAGCACTTCATATTGATAAGAAATCCACTTGATATCTTGGTAAGATACTTGGGAATTTATTTCTCTTTACCTTTATGTTGTCATTCGACAAGGTTACGAAAGATTGAATAGTCATGTAGTGGTATTAACCTCCTAATATTGTTACCTCTCATATGAATTAAACTAATTTTTGAAAAATAAATCACTTGAATACAAATTTTGGAAAATTTCCTATTTCTTCCTTGTTACTAATCAAGGGTGTACTTTTTATGACAAAGGAATATATTCATAGCTTTTAAGTTCATTTTTTGTTTGTAGTTGTGGAGTCTAAGAACCATGCATATGTGTTGTATTCTTGGGTTGTTTGTTCCATGAACAGTACAAGTTTCGTCGATGGCCACCTCATTCTTTATTTACCCTTCTTGACAATCAATGAACTTGTCTCAGCCATCCTACGATAAGGTCATACCTGCAACCTTTTCTGAATTGGGCTTCTCAGAATTGGTATCTGTTTATAATGAGCTCAAAGAGTTGGGAAGACCCCCTCCTATCATCGACGCAGCTGAGCTTCAAAAGGATCCTGAGGTTCTACTTCTTTCTGATTTACCACTTCTTTTCTCGCACTCGAGACATGATTATGATATAATGCATAAATTTTTGTGTTTTAGTTTATGCATCAGCCACTTTATTCAAATTCAAATTGATATCGTGAATGATATAACACATTCGTTCTGGTTCTTAATCCTTGTGGAGGGTTCACTTCAATTATTAAGACTCTATATTGCATTATCATCTATACTCTCAGTTGTTTATTCTTTTTAATTTAGATTAACGCAATTCATCATATCGGTTGGTAACATTTTATCTTCTTTCTTTTATTGGTCCACAGGCAACTTTACGTGGTCTTTGTGAAGACCTCGATATTCCTTTTGAACACAAAATGCTGAAGTATGGAGCTCTTGTTCCTTTAAAAAGTTAAAATAACTTCATATATTACCTTTTCATTTGTGATCAAAACTCGATGAAAATTGAAATCATAATTTTCTTTGAAGTTGTGAAACTAGTAATTGTGTCAGAGCCTATTGTACGATGTCCAACCTAAAAGTTGTCTTCTGGAGGCAGTCCACTATTGGCTTGGACTGTAGAAATATAATCTATTTAATTACAAGAGCCATCATATAATGCATGTCTCTCTCTCCATCTCTTGGCTATAGTTGGCTTTTGATATTCAAAATAGCTAGTCAATGTTTTCTCGACCTGTTTATTGCAGATATCGATAAGCTTATCATAATAACCTGCAATCATTTTCAGATGGGAAGCTTGTCCCAAAGCAATAGATGGTGTATGGGCTCCATGGTGGTATAAAACTGTACATAAAAGTACAGGTTTCGAGTCAGCAAGGAAATATCCTTTGGTATGTCTTTTCTCTACACCTTTCTAGGAGTTGCATTTTGGTTGAAACTTTCATATCTCTTTTCGTATTTTTGTTCTTGATACTTAACCATTAAAATTAATGATATGTTGCTAATAGTAAAATGAGTTCACTATTTTTACAAAATAACATGATAGGGTGATACCATTTGTGTAGTGATTCTTTACTTCTTTGATTTTTATTTAGTACCAAACACTTATCTCCTTGCCGACATGTACTCCCTTGACGAATACCTTAACGATCATTTCTGTTCATCAACTAATGAGATTGTGTCTTGAATTTTCTATCTGTATCAGCCATTCCCATTTACTCTGTATGATTTACTTGAGCAAACCGCACCGCTCTACAACTTTCTTAGGCGCCATGTAAAGCAGAAATCACTTCTCCTCATGTCTCCCTTGCCTACTCCTGATCTTCCAGTTCCTGCAAATGAGAAGCTGCTTGCATGGGTGGGGGATGAGATCTTACCTCGTGATAGCGCGAAGGTACTAGAAACACATGCAGTTAAAGTACTACTTTCTTTAAATTCTGCATTTTCTAATATTCTCATTCTTGACTTCCAATTGTTGTAAGGTTTCTGTGTTCGACTCTGTTGTCCAAGGCGGAGACTCAGTATGGGAGGGACTTAGAGTTTATCGAGGAAAAATATTTAAGCTTGATGAACATTTGGATAGGTTAGTGGAAAAAGGCGCTCAAGCTAGATGGCTAATATTACCTGGACCATGACATTTGAAGAAAAAAAAAAATTCTCTTCTGTAGGTTATTTGATTCATCAAAAGCTTTGGCTTTCCAGAATGTTCCTACTAGGGACGAGGTACGCATCAAAGCAGTCAACTTTGTTTCTATCCATTAAACTAAGCATCAATATGTATAGTATGTTGTCTTCTTGCAACCTCGATGGTTTTGGGTCTTGGGTTATCCAATACAGGGAGGAAGGTACTCTTAGACACTTTCCTGAAGTCTTAAAAGAGGATGCATTGTTTATCCTTGTAAATTTTTTTTTATGCAAATGTAGGTGAAGGGTGCCATTTTCGGAACGCTCATTCGGAATGGAATGTTCGATAATGCACACATCCGATTATCTTTAACACGTGGGAAAAAGGTTGTGTAATCTTAAAGTACCTCTGGCTCGCTTAGTTTGCTAACCTTTTCTGTGAATTATTTCTGTAGAAAGCTGTTTTTATATTTTATTCCCAGTTGGCTATTTATTTTCAAAATAACGATTGAAATCATCTTTCTTTTAATGTTTAAACTAATGTGGCTTATCAATGAATTTCATAAGGATCTTCATGAACTGAATGATTGTTCCACTAGGGATTCTAACATCCACAGTACATCTGTTTAATATTTACTTACAAGTCAGATTAAAGAGCTAGGAGTTGTACTGTTCTTCTTTTACTTTTGGTTGAATTTGGAAGAGCTTATCTATATTTACTTGTTTTTATCCTCTTTAGGTCACTTCTGGAATGAGTCCCGAATTCAATCTCTATGGATGCACCTTAATTGGTAATGCAAATTCTTGCTTTAGTGTCAATGCAGTCAGCCTGCTATTAAGATTTCTTTTATGTTCTTTCAGGTTTTATTAGATGGAATAGTTATGCAGAAAACTTTATGTTGGCCTCAGCTGTTTTCGTATGTTCCAACAGGCGTCTGAAAATTTTAAAAGAACATGATTAAGCTTGGATTCATAAGAAGTCAACAGTTAAAATAGAATCCAAAATCTCATGAGACTTCTCCCAAGACCAGCTAGTCATACTAAAATCCCCTCCAATAACCTATTGGTCTCCTCCTAAGCCAGCTGAGTCATGCAGCTCGTGCCGAAAATCATCACTGAGGTCATTTCTGGAATGCCCATGAATATAGCCAAAAGCCAAAAAGAAAAAGCATCAGCTATAAAAAAGTGGATAGGTACAAAGAAATGACCTTGAATAACTTTCTTAATGGAAAAGTTTGGTTTGCTCCAAGAGAAGTCCAGCCAATATGAGAAGAAGTCCAAACAGGTTTAATGAAATTACTTTCAATATCTGCCTTCTTTGTTTCCTGCAGAAGGACAATACCCAGGTTTTGTTGCTGAACAGTCCTTTTAATCAATGACCATTTCGTCCATGAACCCAACCAACAAACATTCCATGTCAGAAATTTCATCAATCAACAGATTGGGACGTGGTGGGCCCATAACCCGAAAGGAGGTGGACACGAGGCGGTGTGCCAGCAAGGACAATGGACCCGGAAAGGGATGGATTGGGGGTCCCATACCGACTAGAGAAGGGAATGAGTGCCTGCGAAAACGCTGGGCCCTGAAGGGGGTGGATTGTGAGATCCTACATTGGTTAGGAAGGAGAACGAAACATTCTTTATAAGGGTGTGGAAACCTTATCATAGAAGACGTGTTTCAAAAACCTTGAGGGGAAGCCTGAAAGAGAAAACCCAAAGAGGACAATATCTGCTAGCGGGGGGCTTGGGCTGTTACAGTGCCCTCCAATAATACCATAAAGGTTTCTAGAATTTGGAGCTCCCTCTTAAGTTTGAGCTTTTTCCCCGTTGTTGCCATGACTTTTTCTTCTTGGGTGGTTAGGTTAGGGATGGGATGGCCAGTTCTTTTCTTAGGATCATCTATGCTTCAAGATGAGCTGCTTTAACTGTAAATACTTCAGTAGTTTATTTGTATATGTGGGTGTGTTTTAGCTTTAATTATTTATTTATTTATTGCTTGTAACTATATCTAGTGCTTGCTGAATGGAAACCTCCTGTCTACGACAACACGAGCGGAATAACTCTAGTGACTGCCACAACACGTCGTAATGCACCTAATGTAAGACAATTCCCTTCATCTTATATGTCTCTAATTCTCTATAATTTGTTTTGTACTCATAAGTTTAATTAAAATAAATGTTGATTATTCAACTTGACTATTACTAACCCTCATTCAGTCCGTTAGAATCGGTACTTATTTATTTATCGTGGCTCCAGAATTTGGATTCAAAGATTCATCACAATAATCTTCTCAACAACATTCTTGCCAAGGTATTGAATTTCCAACGGTGTGACCTTTTTGTACAAATTCTTCAAGGATGTAATTTTGAACACATTAAAAGTTTTCATGTTCTTATTATCATCTCTTGGATATATCATGCTGGCTAGCATTCAATACCATTCACATAAGTTATGTGATTCCATGTTAGCACATGAAGTTACTGCTTGATTTGTATTTGATTGAATCGATCATCTGTGGTTGACTCGAACTATATCAAATGGGCCGTGTCGAGTCTGTTTTGATTATCTCTTTCGATTGGTTGAGTTCATTGAAATGTGTAGATTGAAGGAAACAATGCGAATGCCGGTGATGCTATCATGCTGGACAAAGATGGCTTTGTGTCTGAAACAAATGCGACAAACATTGTAAGTATCGAGTTTCGAAACTTCTGTATATTATCTTTGGAAGCATGGCATCATATGATTTGTTGCATGACTGGCACATTCCCTTCTGATTCTACTCCTCGTTAGGTCTTCTTATCGATGTCGAAAGTAAATGTATAAATTCATTCGCTTACATTCTATACTTCATTTGAGACAAGGATATAAGATTAATGAACTCTTGCGAATTTCGTGCAGTTTTTAGTGAAAAAAGGCAAAGTTTTGACACCTGATGCTGATTACTGTCTCCCCGGAATAACTCGTGCAACGGTACGATACTTCACCTTATATGTTGCCAACATGGAATTTATTGTAAATGTCATAATTAGGCCTAAACTTCTCTCATTACATATCTAGCAAATGTAATGTATAACGTTGTCATCCATTAGCCCAAGAGTCTCATTTAGGGACAAACTGCCTTACCGTCCACACTAAGTTACGTATACTATCAATACATTACTAGGCTGAACAATAACGTGCCGTGGCTTCAACGTTTGGTGCCACGTGGATGAATCATCATTCAAGAATTCCACCCATGAACCTTAACTTATGATTGTTTGATTGCATAGACAATTTTCCTTTCCTTGATTTAACCTATATTGATCTTGATCTAATGGCTGCAGGTCATGGATCTTGTGGTGAAGGAGAAGCTGGTATTGGAGGAGCGAAGAATCAGCCTATCAGAATTTCATACTGCAGATGAGGTTTTCGTTTTTTACGTATTTAATTCGAAGTTGAATGGTTTGCGTAACATTGAGTTAGAACGAAAATGCTCATGAAAATCTTATAACATTGGTTTGCATAACATGATCGCACAATGAACTAAAAATAAAATGGTTATCAAATGGGATCGAATACGTCATCCAAAGCATCAAAAGCGTAACGGTTTGCTTGAAAAAGATTTTAACTGTAAAACTTATAGTAATGACTAGCTGAAGCTAAAACAATGGCAACGACGAAAAAGATAACGAACTTTCATCATGTGGAAGTGTTCGTTCGTATACAACTAAATACGATTTTCTGCAGGTATGGACTACTGGAACAATGGGAGAACTTACCCCTGTAAGTACACCTAATGGCTACACTTTTTTTTTTCTTTTTTTTTTTTATTCCTCTTGATAGGAAACTAAGAAATATGTTCATAAAAATATAAGAATGCTATCAAAAGACTCGTCCCTCGAAATTCCTTTCGTTCCTCTTGTATCGTGGAAACATTGACATGAAACCTTCTGAGAATACCGACTCTAGAATCTGGATGTCTCGGGTGGAGAACGAAACATTCTTTATAAGGGTGTGGAAACCTCTCCGTAGCAAATACATTTTAAAACCTTGAGGGGAAGTCCAGAAGAGAAAACCCAAAGAGAATAATATCTGCTAGCTAGCGGTAGACTTGAGCCGTTACAATGTCTGTAGAATAGCTTGGAAAAGCATGTACACTTCCTTGATTGTCTATGTTTTATCATTTTCATTTGAAGTAATGCTACGAATGATGCGAATAACAGGTTGAAACAAACCGAACCGAATCAATTTGTTTGTTTTTATAGGGTCGAAAGGTTTTTGTTAGATAACTCGACAAAGAATTGAACCAAACCGAACTAACACCCGAACACCGAACGGGGGAATTCCCTTTGATTTTTCAGGTTGTGAAGATCGACGGGCGTGTGATTGGCGATGGACAAGTTGGACCTGTGACAAGAAGGTTACAAAATGCTTACAAGAAACTGACAGAAGAATCAGGTGTGCCTATCCCAACCTATCAAGACACTACAAAGTGAACATCTTTCCACAAGGTGCACTTTCCTTGCTACAAATAATTGAATCATCTTTGTACACTTGGTTGGTGACAATGAGTCGGAATTTCTACGTTCACTACTAATAAATGAATGTTCTAGTCGAAGCCCTGAGGCTTACGTCGTTTTCTTAGTTTGAACAGAGGAATACGACACGTGAAAGCACGGCTAGGCTTATAAGCCTTCTGCCCCGAGATGGTTAGAAGAACAATATCTAGTTGTTCTTCAACGTAAAAAAAGACCATCTTGTGCATGCTTTTACTGGTCAAGATATCGGTTATCGACTTTTAAGGTCGAAATGTCAAATAACGAGAAATAACGCTACTGTAAATGTTTGCTTAATCCACCACACCTAAATGGTGTGAAAGTTATCTTATTTATAATCAAATAAATTACAAGGATATGGAAATAGTAATAAATGGAAATAACAATAAATGGAAAGATACTATAGTAATAAGGCAAATGTTAGATATTTGTCTTATAATAAAATATCAAATATAATATATATGGTAAACTATAATTTATTACTAAATATCCTTAACACCCCACCGCAAGCTAAGCGTCGGATTTAAACGAACGTGAAGCTTGAATCTGAAAAATTCAAAGAGGTTGAGAAACACTTTTCGCGAAGATGTTAACAACTTGGTTCAGAGGAGGCGTAGAGAAACACTTTCTTGGCCATCGAAAACTGCAGAGAGATCGCTGCTCAGCGGCAATGCTGCCTTGGCTTCGGTGAGAATATGTCTAACCCATGAAGAGGGATTGTCGCTTAGCGACGATGCTGACTTGGCTCTGGTGAGAATATGTCTAACCCCAAGAAGTAGAAGGGGAAACCTAGAGCAAGGGACAAAGACAATGTTGAAGCCGGAAGAGTCGCCACATTGGGCGAATGAGCCAATTTTGGCGAGAAGGGCAGCTGGAAGAGTCACCACATTGGGGCGAAGGAGCCAATTTTGGCGAGAAGGGCGGCGGCAACTTGGTTGGCGAAGATGCCAGTGCGGCGCCCAGATTCCAAAGGTAAATCTCTGCAGAAGGTCGATGGGCTTATTGAGATTCTGTATATTTTCGAAGAGGGATGCTGATGAAGATCCTAAGATTAGGGTTTTTGTGAAGGATGAAGGATGAAGGATGAAGGAAAAATTGGGAAGAAATTGAAAGAGGCTATGTTTGGAAAAGGTGAGGTTGTATGTACAGAGTATGGCGAAGGATGATTTGGAGGTCAAAAAGGTGGAGCCGAAGAATAATCAATCGACTCTGCATGTGACAGCCATGACGACTGCCACTGGGGCATCAAAGACAACAGTGGTGGTGGAGAAGAACAGTAGAAGATTTCAAAAGCCATTGAAAAGAAAGGATCTAGGTTGCTAAACCAAAATGGCTCTGATACCATGTGAATGTTTGCTTAATCCACCACACCTAAATGGTGTGAAAGTTATCTTATTTATAATCAAATAAATTACAAGGATATGGAAATAGTAATAAATGGAAATAACAATAAATGGAAAGATACTATAGTAATAAGGCAAATGTTAGATATTTGTCTTATAATAAAATATCAAATATAATATATATGGTAAACTATAATTTATTACTAAATATCCTTAACACCCCACCGCAAGCTAAGCGTCGGATTTAAACGAACGTGAAGCTTGAATCTGAAAAATTCAAAGAGGTTGAGAAACACTTTTCGTGAAGATGTTAACAACCTGGTTCAGAGGAGGCGTAGAGAAACACTTTCTTGGCCATCGAAAACTGCAGAGAGATCGCCGCTCAGCGGCAATGCTGCCTTGGCTTCGGTGAGAATATGTCTAACCCATGAAGAGGGATTGTCGCTTAGCGACGATGCTGACTTGGCTCTGGTGAGAATATGTCTAACCCCAAGAAGTAGAAGGGGAAACCTAGAGCAAGGGACAAAGACAATGTTGAAGCCGGAAGAGTCGCCACATTGGGCGAATGAGCCAATTTTGGCGAGAAGGGCAGCTGGAAGAGTCACCACATTGGGGCGAAGGAGCCAATTTTGGCGAGAAGGGCGGCGGCAACTTGGTTGGCGAAGATGCCAGTGCGGCGCCCAGATTCCAAAGGTAAATCTCTGCAGAAGGTCGATGGGCTTATTGAGATTCTGTATATTTTCGAAGAGGGATGCTGATGAAGATCCTAAGATTAGGGTTTTTGCGAAGGATGAATGATGAAGGGAAAAATTGGGAAGAAATTGAAAGAGGCTATGTTTGGAAAAGGTGAGGTTGTATGTACAGAGTATGGCGAAGGATGATTTGGAGGTCAAAAAGGTGGAGCCGAAGAATAATCAATCGACTCTGCATGTGACAGCCATGACGACTGCCACTGGGGCATCAAAGACAACAGTGGTGGTGGAGAAGAACAGTAGAAGATTTCAAAAGCCATTGAAAAGAAAGGATCTAGGTTGCTAAACCAAAATGGCTCTGATACCATGTGAATGTTTGCTGAATCCACCACACCTAAATGGTGTGAAAGTTATCTTATTTATAATCAAATAAATTACAAGGATATGGAAATAGTAATAAATGGAAATAACAATAAATGGAAAGATACCTATAGTAATAAGGCAAATGTTAGATATTTGCCTTATAATAAAATATCAAATCTAATATATATGGTAAACTATAATTTATTACTAAATATCCTTAACAGCTACATCGTTTCAAGAGCTTTTATTTCAACTTATATTCTTGTTGTATAATTACAACAAATCAAGTTCTTCCCTTTATCTCAAGCTTTGACAAACTCAAAAGGAAACGCATTGCCATCCAAAGCCAGCAGCCTCACTCCATCCTCCACCAAAATCCCAGCACTTCCACACCTTGGCCTCCCTACCATCTCAGGGCACCATACTATATTGTAAACACCATTGTTCCTGTCGATCCTAAAGATCCCAGTCGGACCGTTATCGTTCCCGACCCCCACGAACCTCCTCCCTGTTGCAGACTCCATCTCATCCACTCTCCATTGCGTTGATGTTATGCACGTTGACGACGCTTGAAACACAACATTGAAACCCATACTTTCTTCAATTATATCTTCGCCCGCCACGATGGGAGTGAAGGTGACCGGAAGACCGATATTTGTCGAAGCAATTGGTTCTTGACCGACGTAGAGTGGGCAAGGAGCATTGCTACGACTTTTTAGGGTGAGATTACCTGCAACATCAGTGATTGCAGGCTTGATGTAGTACTCAACACCACGTCGTAGAGGTTGACCGTCGGTGTCGAGCACCGGAGGAAGTTGAGCTGTGGAAGTTATGGCCATGAAGACTAATAGGAAGCTAAAGATGGCAAGTGAATTATGCAACATCTTCTTCTTTCCTTCCACTACTTCAACAAATTAAAATTTGGAGTTGAAGGAAACAATGGCTTGGGATTGTGAATTTGTGTTGTTCCACTATTTATAGATATGAAGGAGTTGAAAATGGGACGTTTCGAAAGCGTTCATAGAATTTTCAAAATCTGATCGGTCTTATCTATAACTGTTTAATTTTTCTTATTGATTTTTCGTAGTGTGAATTTGAAATAAGACTTTTCTAAGGGAGCTTTTGTGGAAGACTTAGATGAAGTTAGGTAGTCACCAAATTTGAATTTGTTCGATGTATCAATGGTCTAGTCTTATCTTATAAATAGGATCATCATAATACCATTTCAAAAGTCGCGTGTTGTAACGACCCACGTTCAAGAATCGAAATCCGAACAATATCATCTTCCATCTCTTGCGACATAGTCACATCCTCACTTTTGAGAGTGAAAACTACTCCTACAGACCAACACGAGTCATTCCAGCCTGGCTTGTCCGAGGTCCCCCACCATAGAATTAAAATTAAAAAAAAAAAAAAAGTGCACATTTTTTCTTATTCCTAACAAGCATCGCTCTTATTTGCTCTCATTCATATGTAGTCTCAGTTCAAGAAAGAAAATGTTGCTAAATAGAGACATATGTTCGGTAACACTTTTGTGTTTTTGGAATATATATAATCTCTTTATTTCTTTCTTATAATTTAATACAAAACTTTATGCTTAAAGGTTGAGTCCTTATCACAAAATCTATGAAACAAACAAATCATTTAGATTACAAACTTTTTCTATATATATAATAATTATAAAAAAAAAACATTTATAAAATATTTTATTTCGCTCACGAGCTTCCTACTCAAATTTAAACATCAGTTTACATATAATTTCTCTAAGCCAGGAGTTTCTTTGATTGATCAACCGAAAAAAAATCACTTTATTAGTATAGGTAGCAATAGAGATGTCCACAAGACATGGTCGAGACGATGAAGCTTTCCCCATCTTGTCTCTTATTTCAATTTTTATACCCGTAAATATTTCAATTCTTTGGCAGGATTATTGGCAAGAAATTCTTGTGGAATTTTTTGAAAATTTTATTTTTCAAATATTTTTTAATAAATATTTTTTATTAATAAATCCAATAATATAGAAAAAAAAAATTATAATATTCCACATAAATTATTAGATGTAAAGGTACAAGCCTACCATTGTCCTCTTACAATTTTTCCTATCAGATTTCCCCAAATTTTAAAACGTGTCTCTTCCATAGAGGTTTCTACCCTCTTATAAAAAAAAATGTTTCGTTTTCTTCTCGAACCAAAGTGGGATCTCATAGATTATACATAAAAAAAAAATATTAACACAGTTGTCCACTTTAGTCCATTACGTATCGTCGTCAACCTCACGATTTTAAAATGCGTCTATTAGGGAAAAGTTTCCACACCCTTGTAAGGAATGATCTGTTCCCTCTCCAATCAACGTGGGATCTCACAATCCATCTCCCTTGGGTGACACACCAACCAGTGTCTGACTCTAATACCATTTGTAACATCCATAATAAACAAATGTGCCACTAGATAATTTTCAATTTTGAGTTTTAGGATGACTGACCCTTTTAATCCAGTCCATATAATGTCTTTTTCGGGAGCTCGAGGAAATGCACGGGCCGACTGGACCCGAAGCTTCTGGAAAATACGAATCCCCATCGCCCCAATAAACGAAAAAGTTTTTTCCTGAATGATAAGGAGAAAAAAAAAATTGGATCAAAAGAAAATGCTAGAAATAATATTCTATATCGGATTTCTT